AGTTCATTTTTTTTTTTGACTCCTATTAATCTAATTTTACTTATTCAATCCATTAGAGCATATTTATAGGGAGAGAATATGTAGAGTCCCTTAAAAAATGGGACCCACACTTTTTTCCTGTTGAATTTTTTTATTTTTATTTTTTTTTAAAAAGAAAAATCAATCGCAGGTCACCACGTGTCATACGGGGCCCGCAAACAGTACAAAATGTATCTTTTAATTAAACTATAAAAGGGACGGTCTCTTAATTTTTGGTGGAACATACAAATTTTAAACTATTTTTTGGGGGGGTCACAGGCTAAGAAACCCCCTATAAACATGCTCTTAGTAAACTATAAAAAATTACTAGTCCAATAAACTATATAAATCACTAAAAAAGAAAATAAACTAAGTCCATTAAAATAATAAACACAATCAAGTCAATCATCATTGTTAAACTAATACTAAAAGCCCCTAATTATTTAATTTTTTCTTTGACTTTACTTTCTCCATATCTGCAGCTCGTGACGGTGAATCTATATTGAAACCTGAACTTGATCCAATTTGTTTTTAAAATCAAGGTAATTGTTTATGTTTTTAACTTTATGAATAGTTTTATGTTTCTCTTCTTCTTCCAGATACAAAATTAGTGTTTTATCTTTACAAAATCTTTTGATTTATGATTTAGTTTTCTTCTCAAAGACAACAAGCATATGGTCTCCTCAAATATTTTCACACATTTGAGTTTGTTTTTTTATCTACAGTTGATGCTTCTTATCTTGAGACTCACTAATAACTTGTCAAAAGCTCTAAAGAAAAGAGACCAAGAGATCCTAAATGCTATCTCGTTGGTTGGATCTACAAAACGATAGTTACAAAAGCATAGGGATGAAGGATGGGAAGATTTTTTGGCTGAGGTTTATTCTTTTAGTGAGAATAATAAAACGGAAGTTCTTAATATGGAGGATGAGTTTGTTGATTCAAGTAGACCAAGAAAAAAAACTAACATCACCAACTTGCATCATTATAAGGTGAGTTGTTTTTACACCGTCTTAGATATGTAACTTCAAGAGTTTAATGATCGTTTTGACGAGGTGAATCTTAACTACTTGTTTGCATGGCGTCCTTAAGTCTGGTAAATTCTTTTTGTCAGTTTAACAAGTCCTTATTGATGAGATTGGCTGAGCTCTGTCCAGATGATTTTAGTTCTATGGAGCAAAGATCTCTTGAACAACAACTTGACATCTACCTTGGCAATTTGCAAAGAGATGAAAGGTTTACCAATCTAGAAATCCTTGGTGCTCTTGCTCGTGTATTGGTGGATACAAGAAAACATCTTTCTCACTTTGGTTTATCGTCATTTGAAGCTATGTTTGAGTCTTCCGGTTGCGACTACAAGTGTGGAAAGGTGCTTCTTTGCAATGAAAATTCTGAACTACTTGTTTGCATGGCGTCCTTAAGTCTGATAAATTCTTTTCGTCAATGTAACAAGTCCTTATTGATGAGATTGGCTGAGCTCTATCCAGATGATTTTAGTTTTATGGAGCAAAGATCTCTTGAACAACAACTTGATATCTACCTTGAAAATGTGCAAAGAGATGAAAGGTTTACCAATCTAGAAAGCCTTGGTTATCTTGCTCGTGTATTGGTGGATACAAGAAAACATCTTTCTCACTTTCGTTTATCGTCATTTGAAGCTATGTTTGATTCTTCCGGTTGCGACTACAAATGTGGAAAGGTGCTTCTTTGCAATGAAAATTATGAACTACTTGTTTGCATAGCGTCCTTAAATCCGATAATTTCTTTTCGTCAGTTTAACAAGTCTTTATTGATGAGATTGGCTGAGCTCTATCCAGATGATTTTAGTTCTATGGAGCAAAGATCTCTTGAACAACAACTTGACATCTACCTTGACAATGTGCAAAGAGATGAAAGGTTTACCAATCTAGAAAGCCTTGGTGATCTTGCTCGTGTATTGGTGGATACAAGAAAACATCTTTCTCACTTTGGTTTATCGTCATTTGAAGCTATGTTTGATTCTTCCGGGTTGCGACTACAAGTGTGGAAAGGTGCTTCTTTGCAATGAAAATTGTGAGGACGATTTCACGTAACAGTATCGGTGATGAATTTTTAAGTGATTGTCTAGTTTGTTTTATTGAGAAACAAGTACTCGAAACGGTGACAAATGAGACAGTGATAAGGAGATTCCAAGATATGAGTGAACGTAGAGTACATTTTTAAATTTTAGTGTATTGTAATTTTTTCAATAAATTTATGCATCTTTATCTATAAGGATTTTTTTGACCCATGTCCATATTTTTCATGGCTCCGCCACTGGTGTGGATGAAGATAAATATACGTATCTAATCCTTTATAGTCGTAGGATTGATTCGATCTGGTAGGTTAAGAGTTATAATGGAGCATGATCGAGGTTCTTGTATAGATGTTAAATCAAGAGAGTAAGTGGCTGCTTTGTCTAAAGATTCACGCTGTCCCCTTTGTTTTTTTTTTCCGATTACGAGACACAAAACGATAGCTGTATGTATGACATTCCACTAACAAATACTTCCCCCCCATTTCTTTTTGTATGCTGTTTTAGAAAGTTTTTGTTGTTTCAATATGTAAGATTTTCATTTTCTATGTAATTTTAATTTTACTAAAAACTGTGTAGCCAATAATATTTGTTTCTCTATTTTGTAATTGGGTAATAAGATTTTAATTTTTATTTTAATAATAATTTTAGATAAATGGTAATTTTTTTTAATAGTTGTGCATATATCTACAACACCATACAAAAATAAACGTAGGGAGTATTATTTAGGGGTTTTTTTCTAAGATTATTTATGTTTAGTGTAGTTTCACTGATTTCAACTAATTAGATAGTTTTCAACTAGTCGTAATATGTATTTCGCATAAGAAATGTATAGGAAAGGTGATTTTTTCCCCTTTTAACAATTAGAAGACGTTTTTAATAGTTAATCATAAAAATTTCTTTTATGAATTTGAACGAAATACAACAAGCATGTGAACTAAAACTGAATTATTTTTTTGATAAGTCTTCAAATATTGTAAATAAACTTTATACATTTACAGAAAGTTTTGTATCTAAAAAATTACTTTTAGAAGCTAAAGAGAAAAACTAAGATTATGATTAGTGGTAATTTCTCAAAATAAATTCTTCAGAATATAATAATAAAATATGAAAGAAAGAAAAAGTAAAGTAAGTCTCTTTAGGAAGATAGGTTTCTCAAATGGGAAGAACTAATCCCTACAGTTGTCACTTTCTATTGTTGTTTTTGTTTTTTAAATATTAAATTTAAATCAAGTAAATAAATTAGACTAAATTATTAATATAAGTGTTTAGAAATAAAAATTGAAGAGATTTAATCGTTGATGATGCTCTAAGAAGTAAGAACATCATTTCACGTTTGTTATTTGTTATTGTTTATTTATTTTTCTATGTACATAAATGTTTGCTATTAGAGTTGGAAAGTTTTAATTAGTACAGACCAATCATAAAAGTTTTTTTTTATATAAATAAAACTTTGTAATTAACTCACGATCAGATAGCGAGTTAGGGTGAGATGTTTTAAAACGACGAAACTTGTTCAAATAAATAAGAAAGGCACCTTATGACTAAAACACAAATCCAAAAATCTTTAGATAAGATGCAAAGATGAATCCACCTTGGATGCTTTAAACAAAATTACTATGCATTAATGCATGGTGTATTGGTGTAAAACTGCAACGTATACGTACTTTGTTATAGATCTATCGTCTCGTTTAATGATTTAATCCAACAATCAAAAGTTTTATAATAGGTCATATATTTTATACATATGCTTGATTTTAGTAAAACATTATTTGATAAGCGTAATATAAGAAAGTGATGTGTGGAGGCCACAACTCTTTTCTGAAACACTGCTCAACATTGCTACTGCGGCTAAGTGGCAAAGACCCAGCCCCACTGTTCCTTTCCCCTTTTCATACTTCTGGTGGGCCAACAATGAGAGCCCATGGGCGCAAAACTTTTAGAGATTCTCTCCCTTATCTTCAAGTCTAATCATCTTCTTCCATTGCAATTATTGGCTACTTAATAAAATCTATATAATAATGAATGAAGCTCTTAAAGCTGTCCACGTCAGCAAGTTTGCGGATCCCGCGCATGTTATTAGGGAAAACAAAAACGTATAACATTTTGTAAGATTGAATGTTATTGATGAGTGATGAAATGGCCCAGTGGTATAAGTCGATGATGAGAAGTTGGTACCGCGAGTGCGCGGATTCGAAACGCAGTGTTTGCATGTAATTTTTTTTTTTAATTTGGGCTTTTCGGGATATCTAAAAGCTTAGGGAGATTCAGAATGATTTTTTATGCTGGTTGTAGGGATACAAAATGGCTTAAGGATTTGAAACTTTACGATACCATCTTAAATACTTTTATAAGAAGGTTATCATGTTCTAACCTCCAATATCATTTCAATTCAGTTATAATCATCAAATAAAATAAAAACATATTTTTCACTGATAAATATTTACTCCGAACCATTTAAATCGGCCATAAATCTCATATACATCACAATTAAAAAAAAATATATATATACAACATAATTCCAGAAAGAAAATTACACTAATAAACGCATGTCCTTTTTTGTCTTATTTCCATTAAATTATTTTTTTACATGAAAGCACTAATAAAGGAAATGCTCGATAAAATCACTACGAAGATAAAATATGAAAATATCAACCCATATGAATTCGATGTTTATTCTTTTATCAAACTAATCAAGTTGTGTGATTTCTAATGTTTCATTCATCACCATTATAGATAAGCCAGATAAACAAATGTTAAAAAAACAGCAAAATCTCATACACAAAACTACACAACACATTAACAACGTATCCAACCCCGCGCTTAAGCGGGGACTATGCATCTAGTATTAATAAAAATATACATCAGGTTTATAAAGTTTAAACTCTGTTCATTAGAGTTTTAGAAAACGAGTTAGAGTTTAATGAACTAACGACTAGGTGCTACACTTGTCGACATGTCATGAGCATTTCTCAAAAGCTCTCACCTTTTCATCACACTCTCTCTCTCTCTCTAGAAACTTTTACAGTAAATGCTTCAAAAGTTTCTCTGCATTTACATTTGAGAATGTCTGAATCTGCAGCAGCAGAGAATGGTTACATAAGTTTGTCAGAGTTCTCAACCATGGAAGCAACAACAATGTCTCAGTCTGACAAAACCAGCGAAAACGGTCTGAACTTCAAGGCCACCGAGTTGAGACTCGGTTTACCTGGTTCCGAGTCACCGGAGCCAGTCGACGAACGTTTCTTGCCTCTCAAGTCAGGGGCCAAAAGGGTGTTTTCCGACGCCGTTAACGGGTCTAACAAATGGGTCTTCTCTCCTGGATCCGCTAATGATGCCGGGTCGGGTTCGGGTTCCGTGAAAGATCATAAACCGGGCGTTCCGGTTAAGGAGAAGAATAGCTCTGCAGCAGCAGCTCCAGCTTCGAAGTACGATTAAACAGCCCTCACATTTCTTGTCGGAAAAGTCTCTGTTTTATATCTTTTATGATTTTTACTAATGAGTTTTTGGTTGAGTAGGGCACAAGTGGTGGGTTGGCCACCGATTAGATCGTTCAGGAAGAACACGATGGCTTCATCTCAGACACAGAAACAAGGTGGTGATAACAATAATAGTAATAATAAAGCAGAAGCTAAGTCTGGACCAGAGCTTTGCTTGTATGTCAAGGTGAGCATGGAAGGAGCTCCTTACTTGAGGAAAATCGATCTCAAGACTTACAAGAGCTACGTTGAACTCTCTTATGCTCTTGAGAAGATGTTTAGTTGCTTCACTCTTGGTAAAGTTTCTAGTCTCTTTCATTGAGATTAATACATGTAGGACTGTGACTTAGTTAGTGTTATTTTCCAGGTCAGTTTGGGTCTCATGGAGGGTGTGGTCGAGATGGGTTAAATGAGAGTCGCTTGACTGATCTCTTGCGTGGTTCTGAGTATGTTGTTACCTATGAAGATAAAGACAGTGACTGGATGCTTGTCGGTGATGTCCCTTGGGAGTAAGTCCTTGGACTAGAAACCTCAATAACTTCATTTAACATAACTTGCATTTAACGTTATATCATATCATAATTTTATTAGTCTTGGTCAATGTATGTCTTATCTTAAGTACAGAATCAGTGAAGCTTTTACTGTCTTTTTTCTTTGCAGAATGTTTATATGTTCCTGCAAGAAGTTGAGAATCATGAAGAGCTCTGAGGCTATCGGCTTAGGTTAGTCTTTCTTCTCTGAATCCTTGTTTTACGCTGATCAGTCTGTTCCACACTAAGAACTGACTACCACCAAATGAAGAAACTTTTCCTTACACAGATCTTGTGTGTTTACAGCTCCAAGGGTGATGGAGAAATGCAAAAGCAAGAACCAGTGAAGATGCTTAATGAAATGTAATTGCCATTTTGTTTTGAAGCATTCTTGTTTGTGTTTGTGGTACCTACTAACTACTAAGTCCTAATAAGGCATCTTCCTCTTACTTATGTTTCTGTCCATCAAAATGGTTTTTTTTTTTTTTGCACAAAAAAGGGTTTACCCTTTGTTGTATGTGTGTTTTTTTCTAAGAAAAACTTCATTATTCATATGTATAAAAAAAGAAGTTGGTAATGCAAACAACAGTGTAGAAACTCCTCACTAGTGAAATGATTCTTTAGTTCAAAGAGTTTATTTTATGTTTAAGTGATATCTCCTTTGATAGAACTCTTGTATTCAAACAAAGTGATACTGATCATTATGTCAATAAACATCTACGAAGGGTTTGAAATACTCGCACCACTTACAAGCGTTTCCACATGTATTACTACAGAACCTAATCCTCATTTTCCTTCTCTTTACAACTTCTATGTACAAAACGAAACTTGACAGAGAAAAGGCTTACAGGAAATGTAGAGTAATTCCTATTTGCATCCTTGTGTCGCAAGTCTTCTGCAAACTTCAGCTTCTCTTGCTAAGGTTGCTCAATATCCAGCCAAAATCGAGTTGATTTTTCCTATATTGTATCTTCACGAGGTGGCTTCTGTAGGGTATTAGTATGCTTTTGAGACCTAAGAGCATTCAAGATATATCATTATAACAATAAGAACATATCTACATTTTAGACTCCCAAGCCACAATAATAAAACAGCATGCTGATCAAATGTGGCTACATCCCATGTAAAGAAAACTGTAGTTACCAACTTACCTGTTATGCACATTGTCTTGTAAAAGAAAGCAACATGCGCATCTCCCCTTGTAACAACGTGCTTGTTTGATTCCAAACACTCAAGAAACGCCATGTCGGCTTTTAACATCTCTGCCTGGTCATGAGTATCATAACCAATATCATGGCAATAACAGCAATGGTCTAACCAATCAATAGGCCTCTGATCCCATACAAGTGAACCACCATCTTTCCCACTAGACCAGTTGGGTCCACAATAATGTCCATACCTCGGGAAAAGCTGCGAGAGAAACGCCCTCAGTCCTGTGTGCCAAGGAACCTTAGACACATAGGGTCTAAACCTATAAACAGTATTCACACTGTTTAACCTAGAAGACTTGCGAGACACGGCATGCCTCTTTAACCTTCTGTTTATAGTAGTGGGTTTCTGCTTTTTGTTATCAGAAGTTGCAGCCCATGGAATAACAGAACAGAGGGACCAAGTCCATATCTTTGTACCAAACAAGCCTTTCCCTTGACCTAGAGAAATCGTGGGTGTCACGGTTTCTACTAAGGCTACATCTTTCTTCGAGGTGTTGCTGTTAAACCAGGATATACTCGGCAACACAAACTTCATCTGTAAACAGATTAGTGCAGAGTGCACACAGTGACTTCAGCAACCAAGTATCAACTCTCCACTGTCATCACTAGGAACATCGTGTTCTAGTTTAAGACTTGGTTCTGAAACTCCTTAGTAACCGACCTTTCTAGTGTTGATAAAAAGAGTAATTTTCAGACAGGAAACCTTATCTTAATCGATGTTAAGTATGAAGTATGTAGTTTCACAGGTTGCTCATTCTCCTTCACACATCACAATTTGTATCTTTCCTTTTGTTTTATTGTGCCAACAATATTAATGGACCGAACTTTGAGCCCATATGGGAACAATCTTATATTTCATGAACAAAACAATACTGATGATTGTCTACAAAACAAAAAAGGAAACTCATTTGAAAACTGATTTTTTCTCAATCAGTTGTCTTCTTCTCCAAGAGTGAACTTGAAAAACCTCCTGACTTTGATGTTTTCACCAAGAGTAGCCACAGTTTGCTTCACCAGATCCTTTACCAAGACACTGTCATCTTTAATGTAAGGCTGCTCAAGCAACTTCTTCTTCATCTGGTTACCAGTAGAAGAAAATAGTCAATGATGATATTACACATTCAAACAATGAACTGATTCAATATAGTAGAAGGAAACTCAACCTACTTTTGGTTTCTGGAACTGAAGGAACGTCTGGCGTTTCCTCAATCTTTTCCACCTCTTCAACTTCAGCTGCTGCAGCAAGTGTCTCCTGTGAATCTTTTTCAGCCTTGGGAGTTTCTGATGAGACAACCTCTTCACTTTTTTCTTCAGATGACACAGATACCGATTCATCATTCTTTGACGTGATAGAGGTTTCAGCTTCTCCATCCCTCTTGTCAAGAAACGCAGCTACCTCCTCGTTCTTACGGAAAGCAAGCACAAACGGATTAGTGGCTGTATGCACAGCCCCTTGACTAAGCGTTTCATCAAACTTACCATCATCTTCCTCTTTCATAGTTAAAGTAACACGTCCTCTAGCTATCCGCAACACACGAACCTTAACCTCTTGTCCAGCTTGCAAGGAAGAGCCACCACCCATCATCATACTCCCAATCCCATCATCTGCTTCCTCATTAGTAGGTAGAAACCCTTCTTCACCTTCTCCAATCGTTATAAACGCTCCTGACCTCGTTAGATTCTTCACAGTACCATCCAACATCTGCCCTTTCACATACTTTGAGCCGATGAACCCATCTTCCTTCTTCTGCCCTCCTTTTGAATCATTCCTCTTCCCTCCACCACCACCAGGTTGGCGTTTAGGAGGATCATCATTCTCACGCATAGTAAGAGAGATACGTTTTGCCTCAATGTCAGCTTCCACTAGTCTCACTTTCACTTCTTGCCCAATAGTCACAACACTCGCAACATCTTTCACAAAGGTATCACTCAATTGAGAGACATGGACTAGTCCATCAGTAAAGGCACCAAAATCAATGAAAGCACCAAAGGGCTGGATGGCTCTTACTTTACCAGTGAAGGTAGCACCAGCAACAAGCTCCTCGTTCTTAACGGAAGGCATTTCACTCTTCCTTCCGGGTCTTGCTGTTCCCCTTGACTGAGATGTAGTAGTAGTAAGAGCTGCATCATCATTTGCAACAGGAGGAGAGTCTTGTTCCTCTACTGCCGCTACAATATCAGTCCCTGTGACTCTACTACGATGAGGATGCAGCACAAACTGTCTTCCGTGAGTAGGAAACAACTTAAGCGAAGTAGAAAGAGGCAAGACTAGTCTTTTAGCTGGTGATGGTATATGTCTTTGTCCTGCTTTAGGCAAGAAGCAACATTTGATGGAGCAATCATTCTTCTTTACGGTAAAAGCATCTCCAGGAATGCGCCAGGCTTTGCTGATAGAAGAAGGACTAATCGTAGCCATCATCTACAACACATTAAGCATTTACACACTGTCAAGTTCCAAGACGTACTGAGCAAAAAAAAAAAAAAAAAAAAAAAACAGAGAGTGATATGAAGAGAAAGGCCACTCTTTTATCAATTTGAACTGACAATGTTCGGACTATCGTGTCACGACAACATGCGAAGAGTGAGTAAAATGATTGCACAACTACATTGAGAGAAACCCATTTGAGCACAACTAAGAAAGGAGCTACCTTTAAGTTCGTCTTTGCTCTGAGAAAACTGTCCCAGAGAAACTAAACCGAGAAAAATCGCTATTTTCCTTGGAAAATAAGCCTAAAGAGAAGCTAGGAAGAGGTGAGACTTTCAAATCCTTATCTCATTTTATCTGCTCTGCTCTTTGGATAAAAAAAAATAAAAAAAAAGAAATCTTCAAATATTAGAGATGATCAGTCAGCTCCAACTCCAGCTGAGCCGATTATATCAAATATGGGCTTCATACTAAGGCCCATAAATACTCAACACGCGTCTGTTGCGGGGCCAGACGACGACCAGAGACTTGCAGCAGTAGACTCTCCAAGTCTTTGCTATATGTGGTAAGAATTAACATCATTCATCACAAACTTTTCTTCTTCTGCAGAACTATGAAAATCTTTGTGCTATTACTGCTTCTTCTCTTCTTGAACAGGGCAGTTTCTCAAGGTGAAAGAGGAGAGTTCGGCTTCAATGGTTACTTATACGACAGCTATGGAACTGCCAATCTTGACTCCAATGGCTTATTGAAGCTTACAAACTACACAGTACAAAAAACAGGTCAAGTCTTTTACAACTTCCCTGTTCGGTTCAAGGACTCACCAAACGGTACCGTTTCGTCCTTCTCCACTACTTTTGTTTTCGCTATAGTCTCTCAAATTCCAATACTTAGTGGCCACGGAATCGCTTTTGCCATTTGTCCTACCAAAGGCTTGCCCTATAGCACTTCCGCACAGTATCTAGGGCTCTTTAATATTACAAGCAATGGAGATCCCTCAAATCATGTTGTGGCAGTTGAGTTTGATACAATCCGTAGTAGTGAATTCAATGACATGGATGATAACCATGTTGGTATCGACATCAACAGCTTAAGATCAGAGAAAGCAGCTTCAGCAGGCTATTACAAAGAAGATGGTACTTTCGAAGACATAAAGCTTATAAGTAGGAAACCGATACAAGCCTGGGTTGAATATGATTCATCAAGGAAACAACTCAACATCACTCTGCATCCTCTTCATGTCACTAAGCCAAAGACTCCACTGCTTTCTCTGACCAAAGATCTATCACCATATCTCCTGGATTCCATGTACGTTGGCTTCACTTCATCCACAGGCTCTGTTCTCTCATCTCATTATATTCTTGGTTGGACCTTCATGCTTAATGGCAAAGCTTCAGACATAGACCCATCTCGTCTTCCAAAAGTTCCTGATGACTATCAGCAAGACTCTCGTAGTAGTTTTAGAAAGATCTTGGCTATCAGTTTGAGTATGACCGGCCTTGCAGTCCTCTTCTTCTTGACCATAAGTTTCATGCTCTTCTTGAAAAGAAAGAAGTTAATGGAAGTTCTTGAAGACTGGGAGGTTCAGTTTGGTCCACATAGGTTTGCTTACAAGGATCTCTACATTGCCACAAAGGGTTTCAAGAACAGTGAGATTCTTGGTAAAGGAGGGTTTGGAAAAGTCTACAAAGGTACACTATTGTCATCTAACCTAGACATCGCCGTGAAGAAAGTTTCTCATGATTCAAGACAAGGGATGAGAGAGTTTATAGCCGAGATTGCCACCATTGGCCGTCTCAGACATCCTAATCTAGTTCGGCTTCTTGGTTACTGCAGACGCAAGGGGGAGCTTTATTTGGTCTATGACTGTATGCCAAAAGGCAGTCTTGATAAGTTTCTCTACCACCAACCAGAACAGAGTCTTGATTGGTCACAAAGATTCAAGATCATCAAAGATGTAGCTTCTGGTCTCTGTTATCTACACCAGCAATGGGTTCAAGTCATCATTCACAGGGACATCAAGCCAGCTAACATTCTTCTTGATGAATCCATGAACGCAAAGCTTGGTGATTTTGGTCTCGCCAAGCTTTGCGAACACGGGATTGATCCTCAGACCTCTAACGTGGCTGGCACGTTTGGTTACATCTCACCAGAACTCTCAAGAACAGGGAAGGCAAGCACAAGCTCTGATGTATTCGCTTTCGGAGTATTCATGTTAGAGATTACTTGCGGGAGAAGACCCGTCTTGCCACGAGCGTCTTCGCCAAGCGAGATGGTTCTTACTGATTGGGTGCTAGATTGTTGGGAAGATGACATATCGCAAGTGGTTGATGAGAGGGTTAAGCATGATGATAAGTACCTTGAGGAGCAAGTAACAATGGTTCTTAAGCTCGGCTTGCTCTGTTCGCATCCGGTTGCTGCCATGAGACCGAGCATGTCCAGCGTCATCCAGTTCTTGGACGGTGTGGCTCAACTACCTCATAACTTGCTTGACATTGTGAAAGCTCGAGAAATCGTTGGAGAAGCAACCGAGTCTCTTGCGCAGCCTAGTTCGATCGCTACGGTTACATTCACGGAGTCATTTGCATCACACGGGCGCTAAAAGATCAAACACACACAAGATAATCTTCTTCATCTACGTCAAATAAAGCAAATATTAGTTTGTCAAAAAGAAACAGCTGAATCTTAAGTTTTAATAATGTGTTTGCAAGACTATACTATGTAATAGCTATGTCAAGATTTAATACGAGAGTCCGAAGTTGGGTATGTAAATGCAAAAAGAGGAACTGTTATTTATAAAAATATCAGATGGGAACAGTTTATATGACCAGAAAGATACTACGCAGAAGCAAAATGTATCACAGGCAAAAGTGTAGAGAATGATATGCTGATGACATGCATCACCAAGTAGCACGAAAAATAGCCTGGTTGTTGCTGTCATAGACAGAGATTTTTGCAAGATACCTGTGATTAAGGGAGAGAGGAAAAAATTTCAATTACAGAAAAGAAATAAGTAATTATTGAGGTTAGTGTTCATACTTTGCAACACCAGCTACAGTAACGTGACCATTTTTTGGGTACATTGATGAAGAATGGCTTCTTGTGGCCTTAGTTTTACAATCACTGCAGGCAATATAATACCATGGACACCCACGTTCAACAAAGCCTCTTCCAATTGGTTTGATTTAGATAAACAGGCCTCTCAATTTGGGTGAGTTATCTAGAGCTTTAATTTTACCTTGGCGGATTCCTACTTGATATAGGCCTAGATTTCCCCAATAGTTATTGTCTCAGACGTATTCACCATCTTAGAACTTTGTCACTGAAAATAGGGTGAATTATAATATGTTTTGGGAGTACAAACAACACTAACCAGTTAAAGAGTTGATGGTGGGTGTGACATTTTGTCTAGGAAAACACGTGAGGATAACACTGAGGTGAGAGCAAGGTTCCCTGTTGTTCTTGTAGGTTTAGACGTAAAAAAAAAAATAAACGTCAACACCACTGATTAACATAAGGCTACATAAACACACAGTGAAGATAAACACGTATTAGTTGAAGATATACGTATTCAAAGTCAAATATATGTGAACAAAACCTATCAAGCATTGATCCAGTTGCTGTTTCAAGAGCATATTTGGCCTTAGGTATTGATTTTTAGTTAGAGATCAGCAAGCCAGCCAAAATATCCAAATTGATTGGAGTTTTTAAAAGGTAAAGTAGTTTGACTGAGGAAAAAACTTTCTCAAGTCGAATGTTTAAAAATTTGAATTACTGACGTTTTCAGAAACTCTTGGATGGTCAAATAAGTAGATTAGTAGAAACATATGCCAAATATTACAGAACCATCTCATGTTACAATTAAGCAAAAGATAGAAATGATAACCTCCAACACGTTTTGTGTTCACGGTTGTAAAGAACGGTGGGAGTATTGGCACATGTTGTAAATTTCTTGCAGAATTGTGTTACAGCCAGGTCCCAGAGATAAAATTTCATAACAAGTCCTCTGCAAATGATAATCAATGATGGTTGAGCTTTATTAGTTTGCAAGCAAGTCCAACAATGGTATCCAAAGGAAGTGTGTCTTATAAAAGAAAAATAAAATAAAAAATCAAAAGGTATGTGACAGAATAAAGAAAGAGTTCTCTGCAAAGAGGTTTTTGGATACTTTAGGTTTACAATTGACTTTAATAATTAAAGAACACTGAAATATAACTATTTATTGATATCATGTTTTTTGGCAGTTTCTGCCTAAGGTTGACACAAGACCATGCAAAACAGAGCAGGTAGTTATTTTTTAAAGGTAAAACAAACATTCTTTTTAACTTGTACACGAATCAAAACAAGCCGTGTGGTTGCAATTTCCACTTCTCCTCGAGGACGGTCCGGTCAATGAGAGACTGTCCATTGACCAGTCATGTCGTAGCAGTTGAGTTTGATACAGTCCTTAGCACTGAGTTCGATGACATGGATGATAACCATGTTGGTATCGACATCAACATCAGAGAAAGCAGCTTCAGCAGGTTATTACAAAGATGGTACTTTCGAAAACATATCTCTTAAAAGTAATAAACCGATACAAGCCTGGGTTGAATATGATTCATCAAGGAAACAACTCAATATCACTCTTCATCCTCTTCATGTCGCTAAGCCATATATTCCATTGCTTTCTCTAACCAAAGATCTCTCACCATATCTCCTCGAGTTCATGTACGTTGGCTTCACTTCATCAACAGGTTCTTTTATTTCATCTCATTATATTCTCGGTTGGACCTTCAAGCTGAATGGGAAAGCTTCAGACATAGACCCATCTCCTCTTCCAAAACTTCCTAGTGAGTATCAACAAGACTCTCTGAGTAGCTAGTTTTAAGAAGATCTTAGCCATAAGTTTGAGTATGACCGGCTCTCGCTGTTCTCATCTTCTTGACCATAAGTTTCATGCTCTTCTTGAAAAGAAAGAAGTTAATGGAAGTTCTTGAAGACTGGGAGGTTCAGTTTGGTCAGCGAGCTTCTTGGTAAGGAGGGTTTGGAATAGTCTGCAAAGGTAAAATTATTGTCATCTAACCTAGACATTGCTGTGAAGAAAGTTTGTCTTTGCCAAGCGAGATGGTTCTTACTGATTGGGTGCTAGATTGTTGGGAAGTTGACATATTGCAAGTTTTTGATGAGAGGGTGAAGCATGATGATAAGTACCTTGAAGAGCAATTGAACTTAATCTTATGCTGTATCCTATGTTTCAAAACTTTTTAACGTCTCTCTCGTTATTCCTTGTGGTCTCAGTTAGGTTATTACCGGTAGAGACTAGAGATGCAGGAAATTAACAATATATGACCCCAAAGATATATCTATTTGTTGTCGCCCCTGAAGCACATGCTTAATTCAAAGATTGTGATGTTTCTAAAATAATATATAACGGATATCTCAGCATCCTATATCAATTTTTGATCTATAATATTGATCTTGTTTGGATCATATCGATTGAATTACTTTTTAAACAAGATCAATATTTGGTCAACTGATTTTGGATTTGATTTAGCCAATATAAAACTGTCGGTAGAACTATTCTCCGTATATATTTTAATATATCGCGTATAATGTGGGAAATTACAATATATCAAAATCATAGAATATACACTTGACTATAAATGAAAATGCATCCATGTGAGCAGAACAGTTACAACAAACAGAAGAAAAACAAATATTTATCTACTGAAACAATCTTAGATCAAGCTAGTAATAATCAATGACCATATCTCACCACTTGCAGCCTTTGTTTCTTCTCCTTTTGTCACTTTTTTTTCTTACCAGCTGCTTTGGGTGCCTTCGTCAATTTTACGAACTGCGGGGTATCGAACGCTGTACGTCACGTCAATGTCACTAGTGTTGATATCAATCCATATCCGCTTGGTCTTGGGGACAATGCAACCTTTACAATAACCGCTGTTACAAGTAAGCAATTCTCTTTTTTTTTTTTTTTTTTTTGATGATTTTCTGGCAAGTCAAACATTCTAATATTTAAAATATTCGGTGTGAGCAGACATTAACAACAGAACAGCGGGAAATGTGTTGTTCAATGCGTTCAGTGTGCCAGTGGTTCTTAATTCTGTGCGAAAAACATACTCCCTCTGTAATGTGACGGCATGCCCTGTTACACCTGGTCCTATTGTCTTTAAATTTCCTATCTTTATACCCAGGAGTGGTAATAGAATGGTAAGTTTTTCTCTACACTAACACTTGTTTGAGACAAGTTCCATACTCTATGCATTTCAAAACTATTGATGATATGATTTTCTGATGAACCTTTTTAGACAAACCAGAGTGAATATTCTGCTCAAATAAAGATGGCCGAGAGAATTCTATACCAGAGTATGTGCGTCGTCTTCAGATTTCCAATCCGTAATTGGACTTAATCTTATGCTGTGTCCTTTGTTTCGAGACTTTTTAACGGCTCTCTCGTTATTCCTTGTATTATGTAATCTTCCTTTTTTTACCTATTCTGTGTCGTTCAACAATAAAATAAGGGTTGTTGTATAAACACTTACACCCTTTACCCCATGTCCATATTATGTATTTGGTTCGCACCTTTGATTTTAAAAACGATACTTTTGTGAACTTATTTCTCTGTCTTAAGCTGTAACTAACAGAAAACTTCACACTCTAAGATGCTACTCAATCACGCATTTAATTGAAAATTTTGATAGTCAAATGCTGTTAAACTTGAAAATTTGACATTGCATTGGATAGCTGATTTCATGGTGTTGTTTCGTACCAAACAACAACAATTGTCCCATGTAAATATCCGTTTTTACTTATTACAGTTTCGAAACTGTAAACTCGGATGTGTTTCATGATAGTGGAGACCATCTATCTTAAAGTAGAAATATCTTTACGAATTGTTTGGAAATAAAAATAACAATAAAACAAGGATATAATGTTGTTTGGAAATATGTATAGCAGTATATTAAATAGAAGTACATTATTGGGTCCTTACATTATATTATGAAAACTATATATCTAGCCAGCTTTAAATATACTAAAATGGCCTAATCTAATGATCTAAAAACATCGTTTGTCTGAATAATCATAAAACAAAACTTTAATTTTATATACATATACATATACATATTTCAAATCAAAAACTAAACCAAAACTGATTTATATCAAAAATTTATTCATCAAAAATTGATTTTACTAAAATATTTTTCAATATTCATTATAAAAATGTCGTAAATATATATAAGAAAAATACAATACAATCAATTTCAAACACCAACTTAAATTATCGTTTTTATGTTTCACATTAAATTTTAAAAATATAATATATCTGATTATATATATGATGGTATGTATAAAATATTACTAATTATATGATTATTTATATGGTGACACATATAAGATATATAATAGTGACATCAAAAATACGTATATATGATTATATATATGATGGTATGTATATAATATAATATTAAATAAGATTATTTATATATGATTATTTATTTTTGATGTCACTATTATATATCTCATATGTGTCATCAAAATATGTATAAAATATAATATTATTAATTATATGATTATTTATAATAGTGAAACCTCTATAAATTA